TTTGTGAACAACAAAATCTCATACAACATCGCATTAATGACAAGATATAAAGGTTCGCCCTACGTGATCAAGTGTTCAAAGTCTCTTGAAATTCTTATAATTTGATAAAAATATCTATCAAAGAGTTAGAGTAACCGCTAACGAAGCCATTTTAATGACATTATTTTTTCTCTTATGATGTTATATAGTTCTGGTCTCCAATTATGAAGTGATTTCAGGAAAATATCAAATTGAATGTAGGTGTTTGGGAACAGAATTATACTTTTAGGATTTATGAAATACAATAAAAAAACAATAAAGGTCTATATTGACTAGAATCTAAAGCAGTAAAAAATTGTTATTTCAAATGAAATATATACATTGAAAAACGCCCTAAAGATAGCACAAAGAGCGCCCAAAATGACAAACTTGAAAATGTTGCAGGCCTGGTTTCATTTAGCCCTGTGCATGGACGGTATTGGTAATTGCAATGATATCATCTTCGCCCAATTTAGCACCGGTTTAAGCCGTAATCAGCATTTATAAAAGACAATGAAGACATTTCAATTCTTAATTTGAAGTATACGCAAAATAAAGTCGCTTGAGAAGATATGAATTCATTTAGAAACTAAAATAAATAAAAAAATATTTTTACTTATCCTAAAAGGAAATTGAGAAAATAGTGCAAATTGTGATACAAGCATGAAACTTTCAGGAAATCATCTTTAGACCATGTAGATTTCAAAAGCGAAGTGGGCCCAAAAATATCTCTGCTCATTCAAGATGGCCGCCATTTTCAAAATGGCCGCCATATACATTTGACGTACATACTAGCTCATTCATTCCAATTTTTGGTAGAGACCTTTAACTAACACCAAAAACATGCATATAGTTTCTCCTTTTCAAAAATTTAAATCTTACAAAATTTCTCTTTCATACCTCTTCCAAATCCAAGATGGCGTCCAATATGGCCGTCGATTTTGTGCAAAACTATTATATCATTTTTATAGTATAATTTGTTGCACAAATTATGTTTATTATGATAAAAAGTGTTTAAACATATCAGAGATAATCAAACTATATGTTAATCTCAATAAAAGTAAACATTTTAAAAGTTTTTGTCTTAGAAATATCTTTTAGAAAGATCAAGAAAAAAATCCATTTTTTTCATATTTTTCAAATTTGATTTCCTTGATTAATGAACAAAGTTAAGAAGTTACTTTATATCTAAAACTGTATTTGACATTCCATTAATACCATGTGCTTATTGTAAAAAATGTAAGAAAAACATTAAATCTGTAGGATTTATATTTTGTGAAAGTGGGTGGGCTAATTTTATACGGTAATTATTGTAAAAGAAAAAACAACAGAAAATAAACATAGCTAAGTTCATTCTATTCCTTTGCCCTTTTGCTTTTCTATGAATTCTAATGCAAATGTTCCAACTTAAAAAGTAGTTTTTATTGGATGAAAGTATTTTTGTCTTCCTTCGGGCCAAGTGGCTAAGCAAGAAATGCACATAAAAACATGTGTATACATTCAGTTATTTAATTTGGTTGCATGATAATTTTTGTTTCAATATATTTGATATCATATAATAATTGTTAATTGTAAAGACATATAAGAAGACAATGAATCAACTAAACGTGCTTAAAATTGCAAGCATGTACATGAATGTAAGGTATAAAGGTAGTCCATAAACGCATATTTTTGACTCATTCACAATTTTATATTTATAATATTAACATGGCTTAAAAGCCAACTAAATGTATATGAATTATGATGTGAAACAGATATATCAATGATATGGCATGGCCTGCATGCAGTTTTTTGAAAAGTTAAGATACAAAGTAAGTGTATTTCCTAAAGTAATCATATCTCATTTTTTCTTTCAATAAGAGGGCAATGATGACCCTGGATCACTCACCTAAGATCATTGTTGGAACAAAGGTAACAAGATCATTTTGTGAGTGTCAATTATGTCATAACACACATGATTTGTGTCATAATTGAATCCGGTTGCGTTTAAAGAAACATGCTCAAAATCTAGTTTCAATTTTTTTCACACGAGAGGACTTTAATAACCATATTCATATATGAGTCCATATAAACTTAGTAAATTTTGACCATGTTGACCATGATATATCAAATATTTGTATAGTATAACACAATTATGATGATACATGATTAATGTCTATGCGTCGGATACTGTTGGTTAGGAGAAAACAGATTTAATACATTAGTCTTTGTAATTTAAGTGATACTCATTACACCATTTTATACTGCAGTAGCATCATACAAATGTATGCATGTTATATCAGGCTACATCCCAAATATCTTAGTTCAAGTCATTGTTGTTTAACACTTGATGTTTTAATGTGTTTTCCTATACAAGACTGTGAACCCAGGTGGCTATATGAGCATGATACATTAAATATGTTTATAAAGACACAAGTTGGGGATACATGCTTAGTACCTGTGCTCTGTTCATTTTGATTTTTGAGAAGAATTTTAATTTTGCATGTACACTCTTAATGATTCAAAAGTGTTTAATGTAACTTTAAAAGAGGTCTTCTTTTACTTGGCAAGATTATATGGTGACTATCTAAGCTCTAGGCATTGTAGTTTCTTTTTGTTTGTTGATTTTTTTTTAAAATAACATCAACAACAAAAAAAACTTCAATAAGATTCCCTACACAGGTCTTTAAAAAAACTGTGTTCCTCGCGAGGGCCTTTAAATCATGCTCCTGCAGTTCAAAATGTTTTTACCTGTCACTTTGTTTACATTGACTTATATAATAAAATTCTTCTCCGAAACTACAGTGTATAGAGAAGAAAAATATATCGTATATCATCACATTGTGATGCTATATAAAGATTATGAACTATTTTGACATAGGGTCAAAAATCACTTAGTTTTACATGGACTCTTATTGGAATATAGTTATATGAGTCTTTTTTGTAGTTCTGAGAGCCTAGTTATTGGGCATGTTCTTTTCAAATAGTATATACAAAATCATGACTGTATTTGGTGAAAAAAAGATACTCCTTATATGATTTTAGCATTCTTCAGTATTAAAGAATTATAGACTTTAAATTCCAGCAGTGGATCTTAAGCGAGTGATCTAGAGTCAACTATTCTCTATTGTTTAATGGGGAAAATAAAGTATGAATACATTTAGTTTATATTCCAAATCATAAGCTATGTTATGTGGGTCAAGCGGTTTTTATTGATACCATTTTAGCACACATAGATAATATGATGTATCAGTCGCCTTAATTTTTGTTTCTTTTGAAAAATATCATGTCTCTACATATATAAGTTATTAGAAATGGACAGTACTAACTCAATTATACTTGTTACAAAGATGTGCAAGTAAATATAACTTTGAATCATTCTGTTACAAGCATTTAGCAAGACTATAAATTGTCCAGGAAATAATTTTATTCATAAATAGACAACATTTCACTCAGGTCCAGGCATGATTTTATCTAACATAAGGTTCGTTGATGAATATTCAGTCTTCTTTCTGTACAATTATCAAATTATATTAAGAATATTGAAACAACTTATATTATGCAAACACATTAATGAAACTGAATGTATACATATAATTCTATCTGCATTATTGATATTTTAGTACACCCCTCTAGACCTGAAGGAAGACCAAAATACCTTAATACAATAAAATACTTTTACAATGAATATATGCATAAGAAATCATAAAAGACGTTATTTTGTACTACAATTGTCTGCAAAATTTACCCCACCCACTTTGAATAAGTATAAAACCTTCACATTTTTTGTTTTTGTTACAATTATACAATAAAACATAGTGTTGATTCAATATCAAATACACTTTAAGAAACTGTGTAACTTTTGGAATTTTGTACATAGACCTAGAAAACCATGTTAGAAAAAAATGCAAAAAGTGGCACTTTTTCTTTGATGTTGTTAAAGATTTTTTTTTTGTACAAAAAACTAAAAATATGACTAACAATGTGATTAACCTAAAATTTGATTTTTTATTCTAATATGTTTAACAATTTTATATGGAAATAAGTATACTGTGTGCAAAAAATTATACTACAAAAGAGATATAACAGTTTTCATTAAAATTGGCAGCCATATTGGACGCCATCTTGGATTCTGAAGAAATATGCAAGCGAAATTGCCTAAAGATTTAAATATTTGAAAAGGGGAAACTATATGCATGCTTTGGTGTAAGTTTCAAGTCTGTACAAAACATCGGAATGAATGAACTATTATGCACGTCAAATTTATATGGCGGCCATCTTGAAAATGGCGGCCATCTTGAATGAGCAAAGATATTTTTGGGCCCACTTCATTTTTGAAATCTACCTGGTCTAAAGATAATTTCCTGAAAGTTTCATGCTTGTATCACAATTTGCACTATTTTGACAGCAGAGACCTTACTTCCCGCCCCAAAAATGTGACTTTGAAAAGCTTAATCCTGAGCAGTAACGCGATAGTTTGAGTCATCTGCCTTGCAACCAAGAGATAATGGGTTTGAGCCCTAACTAAATTACTAAAATTCTCCTCTCTTATACCTAGCGAATGGCGTTGGAATGATTAATCTAAATATAAGCTGCAAAAATATGCTCACCAATCGTGATAAAAAATGTTAAAACTTATAATAACTTCAATACATACTAGGCTCATCCTTGAGTTAAATGTTGAATTCAAAGATTTGTTTTGAAATATATGAAACGATTTTTTTTCTAATTTGAATAAACTATGTATGAGAAGATACGTTTTTTTAATTAGAAAACTTGTAAAACTGGCTCGTTCTTAAAAAAAAAACTGCCTGTTTTTATTGACACTATATATTCATATTGGTACCACCTAAAGTGTGTAGAATTTTCAACGTACCTACCTAATTTGTGTGGAGTCTAATCATGTTTATTTTATATTTAAAAAGAGACTGTGTAGTAATTATTATTATTTTTTTATATTGAATTTGAGCATAATACATCTTTATATTTTTTCTTTAACTTACTGTTTTTCTTGTAGAGCAATATTTCAACTTGTTCCTGTTTTAACGCTTCGAACGCTTCTTCTAACTTTTTGATGGTTGCTTTATCTGTAAGCTCCCCGTACATAAAGCTGCACGTGCTCGACTTTTGCATGACCTCCGCACGGTTGTAGCCGGACAACTTGCAAAAGCCATCGTTACAGTACACTGTCGGGTAGTCCACAATACGGGCATTGGCCAAGATGAAGCTCGAATCTGAAATAGAGGAAGTAAAGTATTTGATACAGTATAGTAATACAGATGATGATGATGATGAAGATGATAGCGATGAAGAAGGAGAAAATAATGATGGTGATGATGCTGATTAATGATGATGAATTATGATGATGATGATGATGATGATGGTGATTATGATTATGATAATGACGACGGCGACAATATCAACGGTAAAGATGATGATGATGATGTTAATGATGATGATGACAACGACGAAGAAAATCATGATCATGATAATAGTAATAATGATAACAATAATAGTTGTATTATTTTTTATTAAAAAAAAATAAAGTTAGATTCGTTATTTATATGAAGTTAATCGTATACTGAAAAAGCCTTAACTAGAAAATGATTGTTTTAGTTGTAAGGTTATAATATATTAGTAAACAGGAATATACCGAACTGAACCGAAAATAGAATAAAAAATAAATATTTGAACAGGAAAGTTTTATGAAGATTATCCTTGTTTCCTACACACTAGAAATAAGAGAATTCATCTAAACCTAATGTATAACTTTGGACATTCTTTATAATTATTTTATGTAAGCATAAAAACATATGTGTCACAGCATCAACTCAATAATAAATGATAATTAAATATTTTTTCTTTCCCAAAGCTGTGATGCAAACTTTTCATACCAACAAAGGCTTACAGCTTTGATATTTTTGCTAAATATTAATCAATAAGGATTATTTTAAGTCGATATTTAACCTAACTATAGTTCTTAAGATGGCCTTCAAATGTATATCAATCATTTCCAATTTTTTGACAGCAGAAAATATATTAAGTACTATTAAATGCTTCTTAAGCTTTCATATTGGAGAGGGGATTTAGCAATCATGAGTGTGAAGTGCTCAATAATAAAGAAAAAACATTCTTGGAGCATAAGGACCAAGTTGTTATTGATTTGGTATATTTTTACAGACGTTTACTTTATATTATTTAGGTTCCATATGCGTACACATTGAAGACTGCGTATGTGAATTATTTTTCCTCGTTACTGCGATATGATATTATTTTACGCCTTTTTTTGTTTGCATATTTGTTGTTTATAAATGTTTTTGATTTTTGAATGCCCGTTATATTTTTATTGTCAGATAAATATAAAAAGTGAAATCAGTTGTTTCAGTATGTCTTCTGTTGTTTTAATAATCTTAGTTCTACCATTTTAAATATTGCACGTGGTCCTATTTATGGAACCAATGAAGGTTTGCAGACGCTTATGATAGATACTAAACTCCTGTTTAACATTTTTGCGCTACTTAATAAAGAAATTTACTCGTTAAAGATACTAAAATCAAAATGGCAATTAGGTTATTTATTGAATCAAAGCAAAACTCAATCATTTTATCAAGCCGCTTTAAATTATGTAGATGATCTATTATTTCAAAGAACTGTGGCAAATAGAACAGAACGATGCACTTGGTCAATAAAACTACTCACGTGTTAAGATTGACCCAAAAGCACGTGCATAGCCATATCAATCACCCAAACATGAAATTGGTAATAAATGATGATGTTTCGCAGCGTAACAAATTACAAACAATTATTCCCTCAGGACAACGTTGCTATTTCAAACCCATTTCATTATCAGGAGAATCTAAAAAATTCTAAAAAAGCAAATGTTCAAAACACGAAACGTCATTTAATGACCAACTTGATAACTGAAAAGTATCCGCTAATTGACAAGACTGAAATTGGTATACAGTTGATGACGTCATGCGTACCTGTTGCTACGCTATAAATAGGTGTCGATTTCAGTGTCGCTACAATGATTCATTGATTGGACCCCCATCTAGTCAATAGGTGTATCAACATCCGTTATAAATTTGAAATCGATAGCATTGTGTCATTGTCTCCAAATATGGTCCGATAAACTAAAAATTGTCACGTTCAACCGTCCAATATTTTAGAATTGTACACCTGAAATTTGAAACCTTTGTAAAAGGAAACAAAAACCGCTTAATATCTGTTTTGTGAAACGATATTTTAGATATGTGCTTCTTATTTATAGACGAATGTCATTGAAAAATGAACTTTTTTTTTCATTTATTTTAGTTACCGGCACTGGTTACTTGTTATTGGACATTGTACGTGCAAACCACTTGACCACTTTGTAAATGCTCCCCATATTTAAAAAAAACTTTCCTTCTATAATAAATGTTACTAAACAAAAACATATTTTTTTAAACTATCGTGAATAGTTTTAGTATAATTATACATTTAGAAACTTAACTATATTGCAAACGCGTTAATCTGTCAAGGTTCAAAATTGCAATCATAGACTATTATACAACATGTTTCATTTTTAACCTTCCCTACTTTTGTTATAACAAATAGGACAGAGTCTTTCGATTTGAAATATATACTGTCACAAGTCGTAATAACGTCACAGGTATCATAAATTATTAAAATAATAATGAATTATTCCTTATAACTTATTACACCGCTTGTGAAATAGGAGATTATTCTTTTTTTACATTCATTAAATTACAACATTTATAATTTATAACGAATGTGATGCATGGACAGTCAGGTGTCTGCAACGTAAAATATTACGCAATAACAAAATGTATATACTTATGTTTAGGTCAATATATAGATTATTTAATGACCTGATACGTGATATTGACCTCCGACAATAACCTCGGTCAATATCTATGATATAATGTCCAAATCCCCGAAGCTTTTTCGTGATTCGAGTCGTATTTTTTATGGTTATTCATATACAGGTTATGTTTTAAAACTCCATAACAAGGAAGCTGAACTTTTACAGTTCTAAGTTTTTTATATTATACAACATATTACAAAACAATATGTAGGTCAGATTACTGTATTGTAACATGGAACACGGTGAGCTGTAAAAATAACACGCTGTTAACATCGTGCAAAGTCAATATCGTAACTATATATATATGTATTTCGCGGGGTAATATGACATTTTGTCAAGTTCACATTAAATGACAGATCAAAATCATATATTTATTTAATCATATGATATTTATCTATTTTACTACAAAATATGACAATTATTTTGTCGTAAAAGTTGAAAAGTTACATTTATACTAAATAGTTGAAAGAGAAAAGTTAACCTTTTAGGTTTTGCTTTAAATACGCGCTTTTTAAAAACAAAACAAACAAAACTCCCAATAATTCTTTACTTGTTGCTTACATGATAATCTTACTGTCGTCTGTTGCTAATATATGAGCCGCGTCATGACAAAACCAACATAGTGCATTTTCGACCAGCATGGATCCAGACCAGCCTGCGCATCTGCGCAGTCTGATCAGGATCCATGCTGTGTAAGGCCACATGTGTCACAAATCACATTCGTCACAATTGTGAAGAATGAGATCACATTCGTCACAAATTTTGTGATGCATGTGATCCAATGTTTTAGACAATCACATTCGTCACGAGTTTAAAATCACAAATGTCACAAATTTGAGATAAATATTGTTTTCTTCAATGCTTTTCACTGAGTCACAAACGTCACAAATTTTTAGGACTGAAATCAATTATTGGAACTAAAACTACAGACATTTTTATCCCCTCCCCCGCTGATGAAATCGGGAGTGATGGGACTGTTTTAGCGTGTTCGTCCGCCTGTCAGTCCAGATTTAGTTTCCGCACTATCCGCCATTGATTAGTTATTATACACTGTATATGGAATCATTTCGTTTCCACGCTATTTTTCAGCAACTTCTGGATGGATATCGATGCTGCAACTTTGTAGAACCTTCATTCACAAACCAGTTGCACATATAACCAGCATATCTCCATTTCTTTTTAAAAACAGACTTATTGCCCCTTGTTGTTGTTGTTATTTTATAAAACACTGTATATAGAACTATTGCTTTTCTGCGCTCTAGGAATTTCAACGAAATTTAGTTTAATATAAAGAGGAGATGCGCATCTCGAAAAATCTCGACGGGACACTAAAGGATTTGGTCCGACTTGAGGGTACGGTCGCTTATATGGGCTTTCCGGCGGCGACTTTAGATAAACACATAAACAAACAAACAAGATGTGCATATCATCATCATCATCATCATCATCATCAGTATTTCCCGTTTGGCCGTTTAATACAGAGTTATGATCCATAATTTATTATCATTTATTGTTCATAGAAAAGCATTAATTCAACCCTATTCTTCAACAAATCTGCTGAATAATTTAAACAAAACTATGTGGGTACATCTAATACCAAGCGGAGATGTGTATATTGACGGCACTTACCCGAAGTTAAGACCCCTGGTTGCTTAATATTCAGTCAGATAACTTAAGTATTTCATGTCTTCAAATGTTAAATATATCTAATTTTAATTGTGTGGGAACCTTCAATACAAAAAGGGCATGTGCATTATCGCCGTGACCTTGAGTGATATGGGCCCTGATAATTTATGCTTTAACCGACTATTTCCCCGGAGACTTTATTCGAAATGTATCCTGCAATTGTTTAATTTTCAATCAGTATATTGATGCTGTCGGCGGTAAACATTAATTCAGCGAATTTGCTTGCAAGATATTTGAATGACCTCGTGTAATTATAGCTTCGCAAGACCAATCATATTCTACAAGAAATGTTAAGTTTTCTTTAAGTTTATTTATTCAAACTTCCTTCATGATTCTCATTTAAACCCTTTCCTTTATAGATATTACTGGTAAAATAACTATATGAACCGCGCCATATTGAACCCTAGATGAGCCGTCAGTACTAAAGAACTCTGATATAATATAGGAATAACGCATGTTTCTTTTTTCGTGTTAAAATATCTGTAGAAACCCAAGGGATTAGTTGGTACCCGACCCAACGTATCCCGAGGGTTTCAGCAGTTGTTATGACACGGAACAATCATTCGTTAACGCTATTCTAGCATAAAGCATGCATAAATCTAACACAATCCATACACAATCAAGCAACATCACTGATTTTCCTCGGATTGCACGGGAACGTCAGCGTTGTATGTGACCGTG